TTTCTGTCTTTCTCTCACAGACCCCTGGGAATGTTTTTAATATTATTGAGCTTATAGCCATTGTTTACATTTCATGAATGCCAAATACTCTTCCTCTGAGTGTTGTATAACAAACTGGAAAGCCATTTCCACATCTTCATCTGTCTGATTAGAAAAGAAAACATTAGCCTGCCAGATATCAGTGAAAAATCTGTACTGTAAGAAAAAAAAGTACAGAAAAATTACCAGCAAATTTCTGCCAGGAGATTATCTGTTGAGTTGACTGTAAAACACAACACAATGCAATTGCGTGATTCAAAATACAGGGGAAACATATCAATCATTCATAATAATAGAGTACGTTGGGCCCTATTTTTATAGACTTTTTAAAAAAGTTGAACACATTCCATCACTAATGCAACAACCATCAAGATCCGGTTGTTGAAAAAAAATAATAGATGGAAAAATACAAAACAAGCACTGGCAAAACATGTACTATAACATCATGGGGTGTGTCTCAATCAGCTCCCTAGCTCCTGAGCTCGTGAATCAGTATATCGTGTACACAAATTCGGTCACTGGTAAGTTCCCTGGCTCACTGCACATTGAGACAGTGATTACTCAATTTCCGGTGACATGATTACGTACAACGTCAACGGACAACATTGTAGAACGTCATTGCTGGAATTAATCAACAACAGGCAGGACCAGTCTCTTTTTGAGATTATTTTTATTCTCTTTAAACACATCATTCTGTTACATGTTCTTACAACATTTTGGCCGAATATTAATAATAAATGTTAACTAGATGTGTTCATTGCCTGTCTAGCGATGTGTGTTTATGCTGAAATATACTAATAAAATGGTTTGTCCAATGCTCCCTAGTTTTCGAGGAGCGAACGTTATCATATAATATAAAATGTTTATGTTCCTTGTTAATGTCTAAAAGTGTGTGATTATGTGTTTATGTGTTTAAATGTATTCATATGTCTGATATTAATAAGTTATGGACATATGGAATTAGTTATATTAGCAAATAACATAGTTCCAATAAATGATCTTTTTGGATAGGAAATTGGAAGTTTTGAAAGTTGCAGTATGTTTTCATAGTACACTGTCTTATATGTCAGTCCAGAGAATTTTGATTCCCCAAGATATGACCTTTTCATTATCTAGCATAAATTTTAAGGGGTCACCCCTCCCAGGGATTGAACCTACTACCACCGTATTGCTAGCAGCTCAGATTCTGAATCTTCTGGCTTACCACAACTGTCTCATGCTCTTATGGTTCTTGCAAGGACTGTTTCTTGGGAAAACTTGGGAGTTTGTTGAATTATGAAGCAATTGCTAAATTATTACATTCTGTAATATTGTAAAGCTGTGTATTATTAATCCAGTAGTACAATTTTACCTTATGTGCGCACAAACAAATCATCTAAAAGTAGTTTGTCTTGATTAAAGCAGCTGCCTCCTCCTGTCTTGTTGTCCATAAGTGATCTGTTATGTGAGAGGAAGCAGTGCGGTACAGTGTTGTGGGTTGGTGGAGGAGAGGCGGCTGGTATTTGAGTGTTGTAATCCGTGTGGGGAGGGTCGGGGTCTGTGCCTGACAGCTGGGGATTCTGCTGCTGATTTACTTTAGATTAGTTTGGAGGTCAGCCAGCCCTGTTCAATCACAGCATAATGCTTTTTCATCGTAAGAGAGCTGCCCCTCGCTGCCCCGTGCACACCACTTCTACTTCTGTATCAACACCACTCCTACAGTATGATCACTGGAGAATTTCTGTGTTCCCCGTAATCATTGTGCATGTGATTTTGTTTGTTTGTTTGTTTTTCACATTAAAATTAAGTATAATTAGCCAGGTGTATATAACAAATAATGTATAATTTGTCAGGTGTATAGAGCTAGGTCAGACATTAACCAGGGCCTTGAGTAAAAAATGCCACCAACAGAGACAAAAAAGTGCCCCAGTGCAAATATATGGCAAAAATACCCCGCAGCAAATTCCTTGGTTTTCTGTCTTTGTCTGTTGTTAGATTATAATATTTTTAATTTATGAATTTACTGTGGTGCCTCTGCAGACTGTACATACCCATAGATGTCAGATATTTGTATTTGTTGTTTCAGATTGTTATTATTAACTAAAACTAAAAATGTATTTTGAAATACAATAAAATATAATTATTACATGTAAAACTTAAACTTAAAAAACTGAAATGAAAATTAGAAATGCTGCCTTGGCAGTTAACTGAAATAATTTAAAGTACTAAAACTACTAAAACTGAAGTACTTATAGTACTAAAACTAAAATTAAATTAAAGCTATATATATACTTTATATACATGTGTATAAACTTAACATATTAACATAATTAAAACTTAACACATAACAAAATGAATAAAACTAAAATTAAAATGAGAACAGAAAATCTAATTAAATTGTAAAATAATTCAAAACAATTCAAAATGTGAATTAATACTCTAATAGTAAACTGAAAAAATTGTTTAAGATTTACTTGAAAAAAGCTAAGAATTTTACCTTTAATTTAATGTTACTTATGATTTCTGTGTAATTATTTGTGAAATGTACTAGCATCTTCTGAGTTAAATTCAGAAAAGCAGAAGCTTTTTTTCAGTGTGTATAAATAATATTAAATTCTCACTGTTTAGGGGTGTGTGTTTTTGAATGTGTAGCTATTATAAAGTATTTTAATGAGGACAAAAAAATAAAATAAAATTAAGCTTTAAAAACACTTAATGTGAAATAAACTTTCGAAACCAAAATATGCTGTGATGATAGACCACAGAGAGCAGACCATTAGGACAGTTCAATAATTTCATATGCATTTTACATTGTTTTAGTTCATTAATTTTAAGTATTTGGTATAAATGGACAACAATCTTTGTGTTTTTATGGGGGGGGGATGTCCATGCATATGAAGGTAAAAATGCACTAGAAAATCAATTCCAGTGGGCAAATATTGCTAAGAGTATTAAAGAGTATTAAAGAGTAAATAAGAGTTCGTTTCTGACACTGATACAGAGTGATGATAGGTCTCGATGAAGATGACTGAGTGTGTGAATCGCATGAGATGAGAGATTTATTTCCCTCGTTCTGTCACAGTTGTCATAGATGAGAACATGTAGGCTGCTTCTTACTGTGTGTGAATGTTACCTGTTACTTTTCAAAAATATTTATGGTAATAAAGTTTTGGAAAAGTACTGTTGATTTGTTTAGTTTATGACTGCAGTACATCCAAAGCATGTTCATTTTGATTTAAAGTTTAGAATTATTAAATAAGTTAGTTGAGTGACAGAAAGTGAAAGAAGAAAGAAAAAGAAACTAGGACAGGAGTTATGGTAGCAGGTGGCACATTTGAACATTTCGTTTTCCAACTATAACCACAGAGCGTGTTTGTCTGGCAAGGACATCAGCAGCAGAAGGCTGCGTGTGTGCGTAAGCTTACGTGTGTGTATATGTTTGCGTGTTAAATGCGTGCGTGTGTGTTTGCGCTGTGTAAGATCACTTGTTTGGCCTTGCATCCGCAGGATCAATGGTAGTTTTCACTGAGTAAAGTTATGCAGCGCGCTGGGGATTTTTTAAACATATCCCCAATGGTGCTGGGCGGCTGGCTGCCTGGATAAATATAGACGTGTTGATGTGTGTCTCTCCCTCTCCCTCGCTCACTCTCGCGCTTAACCTCCCAAGCTTTTAATCAAAAGCAATCTGGAGGAGGGAAGTGGGAAAAAAAAGGAGAAAAAATTTGGAATGTGCCAATATCTTTTGTGTTCCTCGCTCCTGATCCTCTTGCTAAAGCAATCAGCAGGCAGGCTTTCTGTGTATGTGGAGGAGGGTGATGGATAGCGCTGCTAATGTTTGCGTGTAGCATGGCCCGACCCTCCATGCTTTTTCCCCACAGTTCCTGCGAATCTTCCCACAGTGACCACGGTCAATGCCTTTGCTCTGTGGGCATGTGATTACATCCCACGGACCTCGCAGTTTCAAGTCTCAACCTCTTGTTTCAACAACACCCACCTTCTGTCAGCTAACATTACTACCTTATATTCATTGTTTGTCTTTACATTTATCCCTGCTAGCACAACAGTTTCCTTTCTGTCTCATTTTTTCAGTTCACACCTCCTCCTGCCTATATTATCCCTTATAGCGGGCTGCCGTTTTGTCTGTCAGACCTGAGTCACGTATCGCAGGGTTTCAGTGCCTCTGCCAGATTATCTCTTTTTTTGACGCCTCAGCTTTTATTTTTGGTCACCACATGATGAAGAACCCTTTCATCTGTAGCCTTGTAGTCAGGGAAGACATGTTTTACGTGAACTTATGGTATCACATGTGCAGTATTTTATATATACATGCAAACTGTAACGCCCCTGTGGACTGTTTGTTGTGGTTTCTTCCCTTTGTGTTGGTTTAGCCCATCTAATCATTAGTTAATCACCGTCATTGTGCTCACCTATCTGCCTCTAATTATTCACCCCTTATTAGTTCCTGTCTGTCTGAGCATTGGTGTCGGTTATTGTGAATGTTACCCCGAGTGTGTGTGTTTCACCTACCTGTACCTGCCTTGTTGTGTCTACATTAAAAGTGAGTAGTGGAATTCTTGTTGTCCTCGTCATCCTGCCTGCCTCCACACACCCGTGTCCGTGACACAAACCTTTTGTCCTATCTATTAGTTTTTTGTTGTTTTTTTTTTTTTCTTTATCATGGACACAACTTGTCCCTTGTCATTGACTTAGAATCATGAAATGCATGGAATGTGCAATCCTTATTTCATCTGCCTTTTTTCTTCTCGTTAGATTTGAAATGTTACATATTGGAAGTGTGTAATTTTTTTTTCTGTGTCAAAACACTTTCTCATATACCAGTTTAGTAGAAATGTAAACCTAAGTAAGGCAGTTTTGGATTCATTATTTTTGTAATTCTGTTTAAATTTACATTAATTACGCACTTCACTTTCACAAGATTAGTGAAAATTTAAATTTGAAATATGGTATTTCTTCTACCCCAGGTAATGTGGGTATGTAACCAGTGCCGAAGGCAACAGGATATGCTCACTAAATCAGGAGAGTGGTTTCCCAGCCAAGGGCCCAAGCCTGGAGAGCTGGGGTCAGCAGTGAGTGAACCGACCATGTGTGGAGATCCCATTGGGGAGAAGAAGGTGTGCTCTAGGTCTCAGAACCCTCTCGACTCCTCAGTTTCCACTGCCCATGACTCCCAGTCACCTGCCCCAACTGACCCCAGAAAAGGCCCCTCCACAGCACCAGCCGACACGCCGTCATCACGCTCATGCAGTGAGCCTCCACAAGGAAGGTACACTTAAGCCTCGCTCTCTCTCAATACAAAATCTAGAATGTTCTAGTAAAGCAACCTTTTTTCCATAATCATTTTTAAAGGTTATAGCATACAAAAATGAGCTTAAAAGTCTCCATGAAGTCAGAACTGGCAATTCGTATTTGTTTATGGAATATTGCGGTGTTTATTATAAATTATTCATCTGTGCATGTAGTTTTTTTTTAGTTCAGTTGCCCTTGTAATCTTTAATCAAAAACATTGACATCCCTCCCCCTCGCAACAACATCTCTTCTCTGATGATGTGTTTAACAGTGCGTGGACAGTACAATAAACCCTCCAGCAACCTGCCACTCAAATGAGATCACAGCAATTAGCAGACAACAACAACCCAACGATCCAATCAATTCCTGATGGACAAAATCAAGTCCCACCCTACATTTTTTTCTTGTTTGAGTAGCTGTTTCACTCTGATAAAATAGGGAAGATAATCGCAACTTAATTTTTTGCAGTTAAGATATATTGTTGTATTCACATTTAAGTCAATTGCCTAATAGCTTTGGATGAAACATTTTATTTGTATATAGTACACTCTTAAAAATAAAGGTTTCAAACTGGCTTTCTCAGCGATCAATTCTTAAAAGGACCATTATTTTCCTTAGTGTGAAGAACATTTAAATAATCTAAAGAATCTTTTTCCACTAAAAAGAACCTTGTAAGGTTACATGGATGCCAATGAAGAACCTTAGATTGTATTATATAATTTACATGTCTAAACAGCCAAATATGTTAGAAGAGATGCCGTGCTGGTTTGCTGGTCTTGGTTTGTCTTAGCCTTGTTAGGCATGTCTTTTGGCTGATTTCAGATACAGTTTGGGCACTCTTTAGCTGGCCAACTAAACCAGCTAAACACCAGTTTAGCCAAGCAGGGACCCCAGCTAGACGGACTGAATACCAGTTTGGCCAGGCTTGAGTACCAGATTAAACCAGCTCAGACCTGCAGACCAGCTCAGCCGAGTCTTTTCATGACAAACAAGGAGCATCAGGCCATTGTGTCGCTCATTTGGTTTCTATTTGATGCATTGTGATGTCTCATTAAAACAACATCCAGTCCTTTTCAATATGGGCAGACAATCTAGACAAACAAGGTGTAAGACTGTACGCAAGAATGTCTCTTTTTGATGCTGTGTGATTATTTGACCTCTAGAAAGAAGCCACCAGCAGCCTCTGATCAGAATGGCAAGCTAGGGCCAAGAGGTGAGAGGCGGCGAGGCCTGTCCAAAATCCACTCCGAAGAGCGAGATACCGGAGAAAATCGGAGAGAAAGTCGAAGACTGATGAAGACTCGCTCTCAGGAGCACGACAGTCCTGAGACCAGGAGGATTGAGGGTGAGCAGAAACCACTCAGGGAACAGTGCAGGACTAACCCAAATACTCCACATCATCTGGCCAAACTCCAGGTGGCAGAGCCTGATGGACGTATGCACCCTAAGGCGAGGGAAGCGGGGGAGATAGTGCAGGACAACAGAGGTGCACGGAGATGGGCAGATGGGCGGCAGGCCTCGCTGGAGGGCCAGCAGCAGGCCTACGCCCCAGAAAGGACCGCGGGGGGTAAAGGTTTGCAGGGTGCGCCTATTGTGCAGGGTCCTCCTCCTAAAACAAACCACGCCCCACAGCCGCCCGCTCCGGGGTTCAGGGTGGGCCCTGCCATGCCCGCAGGCCCACCTGAGCTCAGGGAGCCTCAGGAATGGGACAGGAAGTTGCAGCCGAGCCATTTGGACCCCAGCTCGGATGCGCTGCTGCGCAAATCAACACGACAAAAAGCTGAGAGCATGCTGCGCAATGATTCGCTCAGCTCTGACCAATCGGAGTCTCTACGACCACCCCCGCCCCGCCCCTACAAGAGCAAACGGGGCGGAAACAAGAGGCGGATGTCTGTCAGCAGCTCGGAGGAAGAGGCCGGTTCGACACCAGAATACACCAGTTGTGAAGATGTGGAGATTGAGAGCGTCAGCGAGAGAGGTGGGTCAGATAGATACCTGCTTTTGTATAATTGATACATTTAATCATGGGTTTGCATAAACACAGACCTCCATGATTCAGAAAAGGAAACCATCATCAATACGAATGTAATATTTGGTTTGATTGATGAATTTAGTAATTTTTGCAACACGCAAATCGATTAGCGGTGACTATCAAGAGGTTGCATAACTTCTTTTAAATGCTGCAAGGCTTTTCATTTGCTTTGTGTGCAAATGGTTTTTCAACAATTTTCAACATTGTTTTCAACAATGATCGCCCATAAATGTACAGCAGGAAGTCCGCTGAGAAGATATACTTTATAAAACATACTGAAAAAAATAATTTGACATTTTATATATACACAACTGTTCAAAAGTTTAGGATCAGAAATCATTCGACAATGCTGATTTGGTGCTCAATGTTGACAATAGTTTTGCAGAAATACATTTTTTTAAGGATTCTTTGGTAAATAGAATGTTCAAAAGAACAGCATTTATTTTAAATAGAAATCTTTTATAAATGATTTTACTGACACTTTGATCAATTTAATGCATCTTTGCTGAATAAATGTATTCATAAAAAAAAAAAAAGTCTCACTGACCCCAAACTTCGGAACGGTATAGTGAATTAAAAAACATAAAATAATGATAGATAGATAGATAGATAGATAGATAGATTATTTATTTGTTTTATTAAGTGAAAGTGAAAATCTTGTTTTTTTTTCTTTTTTGTGTGTAAAAGGCTGAATACCTAATTTACATACTAATAAATTACATATCCAAGTCTTAAAAACAGTATTTTACAGTGTATCTACAGTGGATACTTATAAAGGAGATGGTATGCGCTGAATACTTTTTCACTGGCTTTGACTGGTTGATGTTTGGGTTGTAAAGGAGAGGAGGTTACACTGGGCTGTTAGCCTGGCAAACTGACTGAACACAGACTTAAAAGGTCAGTGTATTAACACAAGCCAGGGGTGAAATGTAAACATTGTGGGGTGACTAGGAAAGACAGACTATAGGAGAAGGAATGAGAGACTTAAAATAAGAGAACAGGAGACTGAGAAGAGGTTGAACAGAACACAAGCTTGCTCTTATCTGTGCAACATTTCATCAGGTTTAACAGAAACAACAGGTAAGAGAATCAACTCTTTCTTCTAAAGAATAGGAACTGAACAATTCAAGTTGACACCTCATACTTTTGCTATTTAAAGTTAATATATTGGTTCTGTTATTAATTCCCAAAGAATGGATGTATAATTTGAACTTTAAACTAAAAAAAAAAAAACTGTTATTTTTCAGTTGTACAGAAGTGGGTAAAAAATGTTTAACTGTGTGCAGTTTAATCTATCAGAGGTTGATATATTTGATTTCTTGATTTGATTTTTTTATTTTAATTTTAATTTTTCTGTTTCTACTGAAGAGCAAGCATTGTATAAGTGCCTATAGTTGAGGAAGCACCTATCTATCACTCTTTGGTAGAATAATATAATTGTGTAACAATACATACTGAATGTTGCAACGTGAAACTATGTACTAATGAAATATTTATTTGCTAAGCACTATATTTTGGAGGTCATGTGAATGAGAAGTACAAAGCTTAGATAAAAGCCCACACAGGGGACCAATCCACCATGCAACAAGCAATATATTAAATATTTATACCCTTAGACAGCTACTTAATATTACTTCATGCAGGCCTCTTCTACTTAATATTACTTCATGGCATTTGATTATGATTTATGCATGTTGCTTTTGTAAGTTGCTCATTGTTTTGTGCTGAAAATGTTTTTCTGGGCTGTTTTTTTTTTTTAGCTGTTAAAACTTTCAGGAGTGATAGTTGAATTTTGTTGCTTTCCAGAGATTAACATTTTTATTTAGAGTAACTTTTTATAGGACAACCCTGCTCAGAACTGGGTTAGTGCCTTCCTTAAAAAAACTAACCTATGAAGATTCCCTGACATACTTGTAAGTAAGCTATCCAGGTCTCAAGGTTTCTTTTTTTCTCTCTCTCTCTTATCATAATTCACAAGGTTAAAAAAAAAGTATCAGCAATAATAAAAGTGATGCTTCTCTTAGCAAATACAACTTACAGTATTTATTGAACATTTGTCCATATAAAAGCAACTGGCCAACTGAAAGTACATTACACTTTTAATTAGGGCTGCACGATAAATCGCATGCGATTGTCATGCGCATCTCGGCAGTAAAGCCGGTTCTGTGAAATCTCCATCACCTGCTTTCAAATGGAGCGGCATTTAATACACAGAGCCGTAGTTTGCTGACAAGCTACGCAATATCACGTTCAAAATCGCAGATGAATCGCCCTACTTTTAATTGAACATTTTAAGAGCTGACTAAAAGTAATTCAAATCTGTTGTCTCTAGCAACAATTAATTTTTTCAATCTATTTTTGTTTTTCGGATGACAATTTGAGCACTTCTCACCCTCTGTGCGTCATGCTCGATACCCCAGGTGCTCAAAAACAACCGGAAAACAGTCCAGAAACCCGTATGCACAATGCACTCATCCATATAACATGCCAACATTAAATAGAAGGCCAACGTCACAGAAAGGGCTGAGACTGTCCCTATGTGCCTGTGTGTGTCTGTCTGTGTGGGAGTGTATATTCAGCTTTGGTGTCAGCATTGCTTCCCCTGTCTGGGGACTAAATGTAGCTCTTAAACAAATTAACAAACACAATCCCAGTTCTCCATCTTGCTCTGCAGGTGGGTCAAAGCAGAACATATTTCAGCATGAGATCTTGGCTGCAGATGCCTTTTTGGGGCTCAGATATTCATTAAGCATAAACAGAGCAGGTTTAGAGATGGACTTTGGCTAGTGTAAGGTGGCAGCTCACATAGTCAACATATGTATAGTATAACTCTATGAACATTTGTGTGTGTGTGTGTGTGTGTGTGTGTGTGTGTGTTTTAGGGGACTGGGAGTGCTGTCCACTGGACCCCACTGCGTGGCATGTAAGTCTTTTCCCACTTTGTGCTATAATCATTTAAAATTCAACATGAATTGATGTTTACCGACCATTTTACTTCCAGGATGTGATATTTTTTGAGAAGAAAATGTATGGCAGAACTATCAATTGTAAATCAATTGGAATGTATTTGTTGCATATGTCACTGTAGCTCAAACATCAAAGCACTAACATTGCCAAGGTCATGGGTTTAATTCCTAGGAAATGCATGAAGTTATGCATAGCATAGCATTTGTGTGGTCTTGAGTGACAGAAGTAGAAAATTAACTTTTTGAAAAAGTATTAGAATGACTTCTTTAGAATAACATTTTCTTTTGCAATCATTTACAGTATGATCAGGAAGGTGAATTAAGCTTTGCTTAATTAAGTCAAGTCAAGTCACCTTTATTTATATAGCGCTTTTAACAATACAGATTGTGTCAAAGCAACTGAACAGCATTAATTAGGAAAATAGTGTCAATAATGCAAAATGACAATCGTAAACACTCATTTTTCAGTTAAAGACAGTTCATCATTGAATTCAGTGATGTCATCATCCAGCTCAGTTCAGTTTAAATAGTGATAGTGCCCATGTTGCTAGTCATTTCGTCTAGTTCATGTGTACTTATTGGTACACAGAGCAGTTGAGATAATTTTAAATTAAGAATTTAAGCTTTGTTTTTATAACTTTAAAGTGACAGAGAACACTCATGAATTATGTACAGTGTTATTTAGTATAATTAAAATAATATAGTTTTTTTTAAATATTTTGAATTAGTTTTTTTTTTCCTTTTAGTTTTAGTAATTTTTTGTTGTGCTGTGCTTTTTTTTTTATATATATATCTATATAGTTTTTATAAATTTTTATTTCAGTTTTAGTTTGTTTAGTACACCAAGTGAAACTAAATGAACATGGTTTTTATGGTTTTAATTTTAGTTTCTGTTAGCTATAATAACCCTGGTTGTGTCTGTGTGTGTGAATGCGCATGAGTGTGAAGGTGAGGTAAGGGTTAGATGTAATGGGATGGTACTTTCTCTGATGGGATTAATCTCTGCCTTGTTCTCTTTAGCATCCGGTTACATGGCAGCCCTCCAAGGAAGGTGATCATTTAATTGGCCGAATCACTTTGAACAAGCGAACAGCCATGCCAAAAGAGGCTGGGTCTCTGCTAGGGCTAAAGGTAAGGGGAAAGCAACTCGCATAAACATACCGTATAAACACAAGTTCCTCTCCTGACTGTTATGAAGTCAACAACTACACCATGTCATGGGCCAATGTACGAAAAAAGGAAAAAACAAAAACAAATAAACAATGCACTAGATATGCACAATAGGTTTTGTGGCTTTTATGAATTCTCTGTAGACTTTACCCATCTTTAAATGATTTGTACGGGTACAGGTGGTCGGGGGGAAGATTACAGAAACTGGGAGACTTGGGGCCTTCATCACCAAAGTCAAGAAAGGAAGTATAGCTGATGTGGTGGGTCATCTGCGGGCCGGTGAGTCCAGAACCTCTCACAGTTTGTTACTTAAAAAACTAGGACTGTTAATTGATTAAACAGTGTAATCAAATAAATTACCTCATACACTGATTTAGCAAATTAATCATAATATGGATGCATATATTACCCACTAGCAAACTTCTAAGGTGGCCTTAAGATGACTTCAAATAATTTAAAATTGAGATAAAACAAGCATTAAAATAAGTTAAAATCAAAGATAAAAAAAACCATATATATATATATATATATGTATATGTATATGTATATGTGTATATAAATCACCCTTAACTTATCTTTGTTTTCTTTGAAAGTCTTGGAAAATCTGGATATATGAGAATTTTAAAACTGATTTAAATTCAGTCATGTAAATTAATAAAATCTTAAAACACCTTGGATATTTTTTATAAATAATATACATTGTGTACATCTGCCAAGCTCTAAATTATTTGATCAGGTAGAAATTGTGAGTAAAAATATTTGTAAAAATCCTTATCCAGGAAATCGCAAACGACTGGAAGAGTCATGTAAAGGCATTGTTTAAAAAGAGTGAAAAACCTGAAAGTTATTTTCTTCTGTACAGAAACTAAGAGCTCTTGAATAATGTTGTGGGCAATGGGGGGCCTTGGAGTCAGATTGAGAACCACTGGCATATACCAGTATTTGTAAAGAAAAGACCGCAAATGAAGATGATTAATTATTGTGACAAATGAGTAAACATAGACCACAAAAGTTTAGAAGTCAGTGTATTGTTTGCATATTGTCTGCATTCTGTTGTGAAAACATGGTTATATTTCAAGCTTAAATTACTTCTTACATTACTCTACTGCTAAATTTGCACACTTAATTGACAGTCTTAACTTAATTGAATTTAATGTTTAATGAGTGTGTTTAATCAGTAAAATGTCTATTTTAAGAAATCAATGGTGGAATTTAGTCTGACAACACATTTTGGCTGTTTGTAGGTGATGAAGTGCTTCAGTGGAATGGTAAATCATTACCAGGATTAACCAAGAAAGAAGTTTACAATATCATCTTGAATTCCCAAACAGAACCACAAGTTGAATTAGTAGTATCAAGGCCAATAGGGTAAGTCGTCCATCACACACCTTACTGGGTATCTGACTAACGGCAAAGCACCCAAACTATTTTTAAAGGGGTCATTAAATGCATTTTGTAAATTATTTTATAAAGTTTCTTGCGGTGCACTTATAATCTTAGTATGGTTTTGTCATCAAAAACAATCGTAATTTAGATACAATTGGTTACTTCTATTTTTATATTCTGTTTCTTGAGGTTAGTTTATAAAGTTTGCAAAGCTTTTTGCATCAAAAAGGTCTTTCTTTACCTAACAGCAGTATCACGATGTGACATCATGATTGTCCCGATTTCAAACCCTGCTGTTTTAGAGGGGTAAAAAAAAATCATATTTTAAAATGGGGAATTCGTTTTGAAAATTACATTTTTTTTTATTGTAAAATAACCTCTTATATGTCCAAATATCAAGAACATTTTGATTCTCCATTTCATGACCCCTTTAAGAATTTATTCTAGTTGGGCGTTTCCATTCAGATCAAATCACAACAATGTAGGAAACAGATCCGGCGTGATGCAGCTGACACAGAACAGCATACACTGTTTACATCCAGCGGATACTCTCCAAAATGGCGCTACGTATTGCTGTCTATGCAGGGTCAGACAGCTCTCAGATTCCATCAAAAATATCTTAATTTGTGTTCCGAAGATGAACGAAGGTCTTACAGGTTTGAAACGACATGAGGGTGAGTAATTAATGACAGAATTTTCATTTTTGGGTGAACTAACCCTTTAAACGAGTGTTTGGAGTGGAGTTGAATAGCTGTGCAATAGATGTTTAACTTTGTCTGTATTGTGTTTTCACTGTAAGCCATTATACTCATTGCTCTGTCCTCCCACCTCTTTAAAAAGTTGCATTCATTGATTTCTCTCCAAACACTTGCAAAGTGTGTATAAATCTTAGCTGCAAGTAAAACACAGTCTAGGAGATGATGTGATTTTTAAAATTTTTTTTTTTGGACCTCATCTCTGAATTCATGTCCCTAAAAGCCCTTATAAAGAGCTTGTGATGCACACCTTAATTCTGTAACCTCTGGCTGTTGATTTTTGTATACAGTGTATACAGAATATTTGGACACCTAAATTGCACTTAAAATGTTTGCTAAACAAATTATGCTGGAGCTTTTCTGAAAATAAACTCGTCAAAAATATATTTTGAGCAATTTATCTAACATTTTATCATTTAGTACCTAACAAACTTCAAATGCATGTTTGTGCTATATTTCTTCAAAATAAATGACACTATATATGATATTTTGTTATATAATACAAAAATATTCATACATTAAATGTGGCTTAAATGCCTAAATACACTACCATTCAAAAGTTTAGAGTCAGTTCATTTTTTTTTTCTTTTTGAAAAAGAAATTAATACATTTATTCAGCAAGGATACATTAAATTGATCAAAAGTGGATATAACGACATGTATAATATTACAAATTCTACTAAATACTAATACTATTTCAAATAAATGCTGATCTTTTGAACTTTATATTCTTCAAAGAATCCTGAAAAAAAGTGCATAATGGTTCCCACAGAAAATATTAAGCAGCAGATCTGTTTTCAACATGAATAATAATACGAAATATTTCTTGAGCACTAAATCAGTATTACAGTGATTTCTGCAGAATAATGTGACACTGATAACTGGAGTAATAGCTGCTGAAAATGTAACTTTTCCATCAAAGGAATAAATTACCTTTTAAAACGTGTAAAAATAGAAACAGTTATTTTCAAATGTATAATATTTATGATATGTGACCCTGCCTGTGAAAACCCAGCTAAAGTCATTTTTTTTGTGATTTACTGTTTTCTACATAAAATCATATTTCATAAAGATGTAAAACATTCTGTGAAAATATAACCTTTATATCTTTAATATTGACTGAGTAAGGCCATGTCAAAGATTGAAACATAGTGAAATTAATGGTTGAAATCAAACTTCGATGCTTGTTATCTCATAATTAGATTTTAAGACTTTAGCCTGGATTTCACAGACAGGGTCACATATCATTACTTTTTACTGTATTTTATGTAAATAAATGCAGCCTTGATGAGCATAAGAGACTTCTTTTATAAACATCTTACGACCCAGACTTTTGAATAGTAATGTATGGATTTGTGATCTTTTTGTTTCAGTGATACACCACGAATACCAGAAACATCACACCCTCCGTTAGAATCTAGTATGTACTGAATCAAATGAATCATGAATCAAATGTGAACTCTTAAATACTTTTTTTTTTATATGCAAACATTACTCTGATGTTTTCAACACTTGTTTGTTCTTGTCCCTCTGCAGCAGGTTCAAGTTCCTTCGAATCACAGAAGATGGAAAGACCCTCTATATCTGTCTTGTCCCCTTCCAGCCCAAGTGGTCTTAGAGATGCCCCTCAGCTACTGCCTGGACAGCTGTCGGTCAGTACATACCGAAGTATGTACATTCACAATGTTGTGCTTAGAGTCTTTGTTTATTAGCTGTTTATGTATTTATGTCTTGCAGGTGAAAATGTGGTTCGATAAGGTCGACCATCAGCTGATAGTGAACGTATTGCAGGCTATAGACCTGCCACCCAGATCGGGTGGACGACCCAGAAACCCCTATGTCAAAATGTACTTCCTGCCTGATAGAAGGTATGTCAGATTTTTCCTGTGGTGTCAGTTTTAGTGTCAAGAAATTCAGTATTGTATCGACTACAGACATTTTTTTTATTGTGACATGCCTATACACTACCGTTCAAAAGTTTGTGATCAGTAAGATTTTTTTAAAGAAATTAATGCTTTTATTCAATAAGGATTAAATTGATTTAAATTGCATTAAATTGATCAAATAAATGCTGTTCTTTTGAACTTTCTATTCATCAAAAAAATCCTGAAAAAATGTATCACAGTTTCGAAGCTGCACAAGTGCTTACTTTAATAATATAATAAGAAGTGTTTCTTGAGCATAAAATCAGAGTGTAGAATGATTTATTAAGGATCATTTGACACTGGAGTAATGACTACTGAAAATTCAGCTTCACTATCATATGTGAAAAAAAATCACATTTTAAAATGTTAAAATAGCAATATATATTTTTAGCAATTTATATTTTGCATTGCAATAATATTTCAGTATATTACTGTTTTTACTGTGTATCTTATCAAATAAATGCTTCATTGGTGAGACTTCTTTAAACTTTAAACTTCTTTAAATACAGTATATATTTAAAAAAATCTTTTTAAAGAAAACCATTTAAAAAAATCTTACTGACCTGCAACTTTTGAACGATAGTGTAGATCAAACAAATTTCCCAATAAATGTATGATTTTTTTTTGTTTCTGATCATTGCTTATATGTGCATCAAGTTTTAATGTTCTCGTTGTAATGTTTTATGTGTATATTTGTTTTACTTTAGTGATAAGAGCAAGAGAAGGACGAAGACAGTGAAGAAAAGTCTGGAGCCCAAGTGGAACCAGACATTTGTGTACTCTCATGTCCATCGCCGGGATTTCAGAGAACACATGCTGGAGATTACTGTGTGGGACCAACCCAGAATACAAGATGAGGAGAGTGACTTTCTGGGAGAAGTATGAAGCATATGTAAACTTTGTCCATTTATTCACAACATGAATTGCTCTGTGAAAACATTCGTACAGTATCACACCTGATTGTCTGCGGTTTCTCCTGTCTTTAAACCTAGATCCTAATCGAGCTGGAGACTGCCCTGTTGGATGATAAGCCTCACTGGTACAAGCTGCAGACACATGACGTCTCTTCCATCCCACTGCCACACCCGTCGCCATACCTGCCCCGCAGACACGGACACACTGAAACACCCACCAAAAAGCTGCAGCGTAAGTGGAAGGCCTCACTGGTGGGGATGTGATCTGAAAAGGTTGAACACACAGAATCACTTTGTTTAAGTGCTTTTTCTCTCATAGGGAGGAATTTAGTAAGAATGATTTTAATTTCATCTGTCAATCCTGCTGTTTATTTGCAAGCGCTGTGAGCTATCAGCACCTGATAACTGGATATGTGTCCAATTATAACACTCGTCTATGGTGGCCGAGAGAGCTCAGCGCGCTGCAAATGAAAAAAACACATGCAAATAGAAAAAACACCAGCAATTTAAGAAAACATCTTCATCAGTTTGACGACACATGCGCTGCAAATACTCACAACACGATCAAATACAGAAACGCACTGCAAAAACTTGCAACAGAAACATGCAGCAAATATGCACAGACCACATCGGAAAAGTATAAGGGAACCACAACAAGTGACGAACCTGGCTGGGACACGCTTCAGTGTCTACTCTGAAAGGTGAGATTTTTTTTTTTTTAACATCCTGATCATATGATTCCCTAGGATCTATATTATTAGCCTAAATAAGCTGAAGAAATATACAATTAGCCTACTGTAACTGTGAAACGTTATGTAAGCTGGCTAACTTACTTTTACAACTTCCCTTACGAATGGTTTTTCTATTTAAAAAAACATGGTTACTATAGTTAAACCATGGTAATCACAAATTACACTAACCACAGTTTAACCATGGTATTTGTGTGGTTACACAAATGTAATGGTAAAATTGTAAACGCCAAAAACATCATTACTACACTTTTACTATAATAAAACCATGGTTAATTTTCGTAAGGGTTGTTGGGGTCCCCTTGAAACATTTCCGTTGTGGTCTGTGCCACTTGCATCGCTTTTCTGTATTTGGTTGTGTTGTGAGCCTTTGCAGCGTATGTGTTGTCAAACTGATGAAGATGTTTTTTTTAATTTGCTGATGTTTTTTTTTATTTGCATGTGTTTTTTTCATTCGCAGCGCGCTGAGCTCTCTCGACCACCATACTCTTCCACATCGCTTGATCATAATTTGATAAATTACTGCCACCGTGATCAATAGGAAATGTAAACAAATTTTTGTACCATCAATTGTTCATGGGCGGTACTAGTTAATTAGCCTCATCTGCATAGAAAGTAGGTGGCTTAATTTAAATATGCATAGTGCAGCACTGTATAAGCTATATACAGTATTATTAAAAAATTGGGGGTGTTTTTGAAAGAAATCTTTTATGCCCACAAAGGCTGCATTTTTCTTATCGAAAAAAAAAGTAAAAACAGTAATATTGTGCAATATTATTACAATTTAAATTTGCTATTTTCAATTTTAATGTATTTTAGAATGTAGTTTATTTAAGTGTTGGCAAAGCTGAATTTTGAGCAGTCAGTACTCCAGTCTCCAGGGTCATATGATCCTTCAGAAATCATTCTAATATATAGATTTGGTGCTCAAGAAACAGTTCTTATTATTATCAAAGTTAAAAACAATATTGAAATTTTGTGGAAACCTGGATACATTTTTTAGGATTCTTTGATGAATAGAAAAATGCTTGATAAATAAAAGTATTAATTAAGAAAAAAAATCTTACTGATCCCAAACGTTTGAACAGTAGTGTACATTTTGCTTAAATGTGAGCGGTATATGAATAAGATGCAGAGTTTTGCATTGAAATGCTGCTCAGTTGTGTGGCACAATCGTTTAGTGAATTCGCCCCCTCAGTGTTTCACAAGATTTACCATAAGCTGAAGAGGATGTGGGCAGTTCGATTAAAATAGAGGAAATTTGCCTTCACTTTCTAAAATGTTAAATCAAGTCAGAGAAATTATCATAATTTCACAATTACTAAACTATACATAAGTAGGTGAAAGACAATAATCAAACATTAGTTAAACATCAACATATCTTTTAGGTCAAGGTCCTGAAATTCATCCAGTATCATTAATATTTTTGCCATTGTCTCGAGGTTTTCATGTCTGTACGTTCATGAGGAGGTATGTTTTTGAACCGTGCTGCCTGTGAGTTAGTGTGTAGGAGTGTGGCCCATGGGTACAGTATGTCCACAATACATATTTTAGTATGCTAGGTTATTTCTGTATACCTTTGCTTGCCTAACTATGGATTATTCCAACAGTGCTTTGTGTGCATTTGTTTGCGTCTGTATCTCCGCGTCTGTCTGTACATCTATCCCTGTGTGTATATCTGTCTGTGCAGGCTCGCAGCGTATTACAGAAACTGATTATGATGATGGTATTGGCATAGTCGCCACAGGTGGGTGGGAGGGTCCAAGGCAATGCCAACCTTGGCACTTCTCTGTACTTTGTGCATTATAGTACCCCAAAAGAGAGAAGCAACCAATAGCAGGCCTTCCCTTCCTTTGGAAGTCACCGCTGTTGTGCTGGAGACAATTCACCGATCACCATCATTACACAGCTGGCATGTTTCATTCATCCCATACTAATAAACTAACTATTCTGGTACTATTAAGTGCATAAAATGAATATGAAGTGGTGCTTCTTCTATTTGGGGGAGACACTAACTATCTAAAATGTGTTCTGTCTTCAGTGCTTTTCTCTGTAGTATAGTTAGTAGTTTAGACTTGCAGCATTATGCACTCTATCACATATGCATGATCACAGTGGGAAAATTAGGAAAACGAATTAGTAAACAGGAGGACTGCTTCCTCTCGGTGGTGCTACACATTTTAATTTGCCTCTGCATGGTAGAAGTTAGAAAATGACACGTCTTTGTGGTGCAATGCCTTTGTGACATACCTTGACTTCATTCTCCAAACCACATAAGCATACTGTAATTATAAATATAGTGGATATAGTCTTATAGGGCAGTGATTTTTTTTTTCTTCTCATGGCCACCTTTGAATTTTTTTAAATGTTACATTTACAGTTTTTTTTAATTATTCATTTTGATTTTAAAAATCTAAATATTATTAGTATGATTTTAGCAGTGAAGTTATATTCTGTCGTTTTATTGGAAAAACTGGTGTGAAAAAACTATTTCAGTTGAAAAAAGAAAAAAAACTCCTTATATTCTTTCAGTTTTCATTACTTTGCTATTTAATGAGGAAGTAAATTTTTTTTAAATATTGAATGAATTTTTTGTCACTAAGCCAATATTGGTCTGTTATGTTCCGCTTTGTTGTAAAAAAATACCTAAAAAATGTCATTGTATAAAAAATTTGAAGTAACCAAAAATAGAAAAATAAATAAATATATTTTTAATTTTCGATTTGACTGATTTGACTAGTAGTGTGTGTACATATATATCTGTAGGACTCAAATGGAGATTCCCACTGTCAAAAGCACACATCGTTCAAAAATAGATATAAGGAGAATGAACAAGGTATTTTAATTGTCTGGCATGTTTTGTTAAATATGGGCTAACACATTATGTCAATTCTTTTATTTTTTGGAGGGTTTCTGACATGGGGAATGTGATTTGCCAAGACCAATGACTGCAAAAAGCAAAATCTGAATTTTCCAGACAGGCTTTTCTAAAATTTTTCTTTACTTTTTTTTTTTGTCTTTGTGTCATCACAGCTACAGAAAACCGATCAAGAGAAAGAGAAAGAGAATGGGACAGAGAAAGAGAACGGGACCGAGACAGAGACAGAGGCCGAGACCGGGCGACAACATTAGAGGTTCCAGATCAGCAGAGGCCAACTCAGTATCGCTCACGGTCCGTGTCCCCACACAGAGATGAAGAGAGCAGGGGACGGTCCCGCCCAGCCAACGTCCCTGCACAGAGGTATGTCCCTAGCTATTTTTAGGATTTATCATTTATCAAATAATTGTAACCTGCATTAAACCCTGTTTTCTCTCTAAGGAGTCTGGATGAGGTCCAGCACAGCCGGCGATCCCGTTCCCCAACACGCAACCACGACCGTGCCCGTGTGCAAGAGAGAGAATACGTAGATGACAGGTAAATAGAAATTTGTGGGCCCAAGCAAGTGTGAACAAGTGTGCCTTAGTGTGTGCTAAAAGAATAATCACTTCCATGTGCCTTCATTTTCTTCCATAAAAGTACTGTTTCTGGAATGCCTTTAAAATGAGTTTTTGAGACTTGCTAACCTACAAAGGCCTTACACTATTTTCAGAAGGTGGGTTAGAGCCAAACCACCAGTGATTCATGGAAGGTTTGTTTTTGAAAGGATTGAGCATCACTGAAGGGTTTGAATGGACATAGATGATCGTACAGGAAGACATGTCTTTTTAACCTTTGTGTATTATTCTGGCTTTAAAGGTTGTTACCCTTCCTCTTCTAACTCACTTACTGGTGCGCATTTTTTCTTTTATGTTTGCTTGTTTTTTGTTCTGTTTTGTTAATTTTCTTATGTGTCCTCCATCTCCATGGTAATTGCAGTGAGGTCATCTTGATACACAGATCAATGCGGGGTAGAAGCGCAGAGTGTCTGCACACCCAAAGGTAAAGAAAAGGCCAGAATTGAACTACCAGTCTGTGAATTATACCATTGTTATATTCAGATTACTGTGTAAATCAATGTAATAATAATCTTGGTCTCATAAGCACTGGTAATATCATTTTCGTTTTGAAAAGACTCCTTGTATCTGTATCGTTCGCATAGCCTGAAGTTTATTCCATTTAATTAAAGCAGCGTTGAGTGTTGATGCCAGTTTCTCTCCCCAAACACTTCTTGTCAAGCTCTTCGCCTCTCCACTCTAATATTTCAGAGCAGCTCGTTGACAAGAAACATTACAAGCGGAACTTTCCACTAGCTTTTGGCGTATAGCCTAAAAGACATACGTCGTCATGACAACCGTTTGCTTTCTCAAAATAACAATCTCATTCTGCTCAAGTGTAATTTTGACATGTTTATTTTTATTCCGTTCGTTACTGACCTCGATTAAATTACGAGCGTGTTTGACAAGAAAAAAAAGATGATCTAGAATGAGGGAGTTGCCTCTGGACTGATCTTTGCATGTTTGCATGAGTGACCTTTGACATTTCTTTGCTGTTTCAGTGGACTAACCACAGCTGTGATTTTGATACATCTTTTGTTTCCATTTTGCATGTTAATGTAATGTTGGCAGGAGTTCATCTAAGCACAGAAGCACTTTGCCTCCAAAGATGCCTTTATTAGTCAATGGAATTCATAAGGATATTTACAGGTAAGGCGGCCAAAAACGAACACTTAAGCCATGGCATCCTTTCTGACTAATGAGGATTTTATAGCATCTGTGACGCTCAAACTCACTCAGATCTCCAGAGCACTTTTATTATGGATTAGCTAATGCAATATACAGTATGCTGGTGAATATATATTTTTTTATCATTGTCAAAGTCTGACACAGTATTTACTCATTCATATTTCAAAGACAGTAGAAGTACTTATGAAATTGCATATAATGTATTTCAGTCTTATTTAAGTGGGTTAAATAAGCACTCTAAAGTTTGGCTAATTGCATGTAATATAAATTTAAACCGTAACACAATAACATAATTTTCATTTAATTGCAATTAACATGCAATGAAGTGTATGAAAACACATTCAGTTCACACTTAAGTATATTCTTTTATTTTAATTTTAATATTCTTTTAAGAATATTATTTCTGGCACAAGTGCTCTTTTATAAATATGCTAAAGTGTACGTTTTCACAAGGGTCCATAAAACAGCATATTTGCATTGTCAACATCATCATATGCAAACACATAGTATAGTATTGTAGTCATTCAGCTGGAAATTGAAATAAAGACAATCCTATGGGAATCTGCCACTGTTAGGTGTTAAGATGGTAAGTAAATGTGAGTGCTGTGTGAATGTGAATCTGACTGTGGTGTTCTGGTTTCTGTGGATGTTTATAGTAGCACCTGTAATTTAAAAGATATAATTTATTTGAAGAGTTAGACAGTAAATCACTGGTAGCTATAAACATCTTTTGCCATGTTCTAACCAGGCGCAATGGGACGTGTTTCCAGCAACAAGCTATGTGCCTGTCCAAACCAAGTAGGTTCATAATTCCTGGAGAAAACTATCCTTTAGCATTCCCTTTCCCAAGGTTGGACCACAGTGTTAAACATCCAACAAGTCTCCACAGAAAGCATGGTCATGTGATTAAATTTTATAATGTGTTTTTTTTTTTTTGTCTTTCAGTATGTTTTCTATTTCTGTAACTTGTGTTTGCTTTTGTTTACACTTGTTTGGCCTTGGTTTGTGTTCAGCTCAACACTTCCTGCATGCCTTAAGTCAGTCATGGCTGTCTGTAGTCACTGGCACTCAACGTACAGTCACACGCCGAGTTCTTAGGTTCACAGACAAGATCACCATTAGGTAAGGGGTCGAACATGTAAACCCTAAACCCATATATATCTACAGGTGCATCTCAATAAATTAGAATGTCGTGGAAAAGTTCATTTATTTCAGTAATTCAACTCAAATTGTGAAACTCGTGTATTAAATAAATTTAATGCACACAGACTGAAGTAGTTTAAGTCTTTGGTTCTTTTAATTGTGATGATTTTGGCGTCTTCCCCATGATTGTGTAGCCTAGTGAACCAAACTGAGAGACCATTTTGAAGGCTCAGGAAACCTTTGCAGGAGTTTTGAGTTGATTAGCTGATTGGCATGTCACCATATTCTAATTTGTTGAGATAGTGAATTGGTGGGTTTTTGTTAAATGTGAGCCAAAATCATCACAATTAAAAAGAACCAAAGACTTAAACTACTTCAGTCTGCATTGAATTTATTTAATACACGAGTTTCACAATTTGAGTTGAATTACTGAAATAAATGAACTTTTCCACGACATTCTAATTTATTGAGATGCACCTGTACATATAAACATCCAGCAGCTCCTCGTTCAGAACATTAGCAGAAAATTCAACCATTATCTCGCTCACCATTTTAGCAGCTCTTACAGGTTTGCTTTTTATTTTATTTTGGACCTAACTTTTTTGTTCTTTGTCATCTTCCTTTCCTCCTTTTTCCTTCTTCTTTCTCCATTGGATGGCATGTTGTGACCCTAGTGATCTACAGCCCTCTCTTGACAGGGTTAGAAGTGCTAGTACCAACTGTCTGAGACCAGGTTCTAATTCCAATTCACCTGAACGAGACAGGTACACTCTTTATTTTGAATTGGATTATTTCAGTTTTGGTGAATTTGCCATTAATATCATTCACATACATTAAAGGACACTCTTAGAATGTTCCTTTTTGATGCCCTTTGAACACAACAATCACTGGGTCTTATTTACTATTGTGTATACACATACACAACACACATACACAATATGTTTTGCTTAAAACCAGTGTGCAAACACAGAAATCTGAATTTTTTTTAATCTAGGATAAAATTTTAGATCAAACTAAAACACACATACAAATCCTTGTTGCATTAAAACATGAAATTTGTTAAGTTTATTGTTTATATAAATTATACATTTAAAAAGTTTGGGGTTGTTAGGGTTTATTATGTTTTTGAAAGAAGTCTCTTAAGCTCACAAAGGCTGCATTTATTTGATTAAAAATGCAACAAATGCAGTAATATTGTGAAATAATATAACTCTTTTCTAAAATGTAATTTATTCCTATGATGGCAAAGCTGAATTTTCAGCAGTCGTTAGTCGTTACTCAAGTCTTGGAGTAAAGTTGGAAACAGTTGAGCTGCTTAATATTTTTGTGGAAACATGTTTTTTTTTTTCAGGATTCTTTGATTATTTAATTATTCAAATGATGCTAATGCTAAATGCTAGCATATTCTCCCTCGTTTAGAATAATAGACTCAGAATAATTTTTTTGTAAATATGTCAAATTTTCCGTGAGAACTTTTTTCTGAGCACATACTGTCAAATTAGAACACTTACTGTATATGCAATTATTAGTGAATAAAACCCAGTGTGTCTATGTTAATGTTAATGTCAAAGTGACATACCACCTTTGGTCACCCACTTTGCACTGCTCTGTTAGCGTCCAATGACTCTTATGGACTGATAGCTCTGTTTTGCGTTTTTGGGAGCATTAATCCAACCACTGTAGGTGGAGAATTGTCAAAAATGAGTCCCCTGAATCTGTGCATCTTCTTGTATGTTTGAGATTATCATTGCCACAGTCTCTATATTGACCTCCCGTGTTTCTTCCATCTCCACTTTGAACTCTTTGGGTGTTGGTGGATCACACACGCACACACTCACGCAGGAGCACCCAGTCTCTGCCCCGTACCAGACCCACGAGCCCCAGGATCCTAATTCAGCATGCCTCCCCAGAAGACGACAGGTATCCCTCCTGTCCTCCAGTCCTATTGCTAAACCTCTCTGCTCTTCTAACCTGTCCGTCCCCCCTCTGCCATGGGACTAGATAGTGGATGTAGCTAACCCTCCCAGCCTTCTGTAGCTTCTGACCCATAGCTTGTTGTCACCCGACCCCATGATTTTATTGCTCAACAATGTGATCGCTAGTGTGTTTTGTAGATTTTCAGCAGCTCAGTAGCTTTAAAAATGTGGTGACTTGTGGCTTTTGTGGTGTGAAGTGTAGTGTGTTGTGTTACTCTGGATTTCATGAGGTTGTATTTTAGTCCTTTTTATCTAAACTCTTTCTGCAGATTATAATTTATTCCATTGTTATTATCTTCTACAGTTTTATACTGATTTCTACAACAGTTTTTTTTTTCCGTACTGTCATTTAGATACAGTCTCGCTTACAGTGGCCCCAAAAAGTAAGTTAACACTTAAAAATGTATGAATATATTTGCATTATATAACAAAATATCAAACCAACTGAGATTTATTTTGAAGTAACAATACCACAAGCTCACTTTTCAGGCAAAACCTATCACAAAATAAGTAAAATAATTTGTTTGCAGATGCAAATTAGTTTTATATTTTATATTTAATGCTGTGATATTCAGACATTTTAAGTGTCCAAATACATTTTGGGGGCACTGCATGTGTCTTCACTTATTTTCTCTGTATTTAACTGAAATTGTAATGATTTCAGAAGTTTTGTTTGAAGGTTTTCAGGGAATAAACGTCACATTTGTCATATGTGACCCCTGACGCATAAGAGTCAAGTGTCTGTGTTTCATATCATGCACAGATTGTCTCGTATATGTCTTAATTACTGTACATGTTATTGTATGTTTTCCTTTTGTACCTAGCCACTTAACCAAAGCGGCATGATTCAGCCGTAATGCAATTATGTTTCATTAACATCAATCCATACTGTGTCATTGTGTGTCTGTGTCTATGTGTCCATGCCACTCATATGTGTTTGATGTGATCTTATGAATCAGCTGGGTTCTGGAGGCTATGTTCCCCGCTCAGGAGACAGTACACCACCTCAGTGCAAAGCCAGATGCACAGAGGTACACGCGCATTGGACCAGTAGCATGTCCATCTCCATCATGGCATTTTATTAGATAGAAGTTTCATTCAATGTCCGTCCAGTCCTGAGTGAATCCACTCCTCATTCTTTTATTTTCTGTCTCGCCTCGATCATTTCCATCTTGCAGGCAGTTGAGAACTCTGGACAAGACTAGCTGTCAGAAACTTGGCAAGAAAATATCTGACAGTGAGCGGTAAGACTTATCAAACCATGTTATGTCCCGTCACATTTGCATTGCCTGTTGATGGTACTTTAAGTCCTGTGTGTCCATACAATACCTGTTTTAGACACAAATCACTTATTTCACACTGTACTGTGTTTTTTGTTAAATGATTAATAATTTTGTTCAATTGTTCCTGACCATTTCTATATTTTATAGAAGGTCCCAAAATTAAAACACTGCCAAAGCATTTATTTACTTTCTATTATTTATACAAATAATTAGTGGCTGGGAAGAAAATTTAATGGCCAGTACATTTAATCAAATCACCCATCATTAGTAGTTATGGCAAATCTTAAATTTGGACCTTGTTATATACTGTATATTTTAGTATATTATACTGTATTCTACATTGTGTTGTATATATTTTTATATGGGTTATTGAACTTTTAAAGGGAAATGCTGCACTGGCTTCATCCACAACATATTTGTTTCTTCACACATTCACACTTTATTTCTCCATCTGTTTTTGCAAATAATTTGTTGATTTTTCTCCATTTTTATTTTCTATGATTTGTCACATTGATTTTATTTTTCCTATAATCTGTTTTGTATTGCTATTCGCACTGGCCTGCAGCATTCAGCCAACCTCCATTCTAAAGGCCTCACACAGGAAGAGGGTATCGCTGCCTCCATTGGGTAAGGTGACCCGTGAGGGAGTCAACCCCAGGCTCACCCCAAATGGAAAGGTGCTGACCTTGATCTGGACTGAGAAGCCTTGCTGTGCCTGTGTTTTTTGTTAAATGATTAATAATTTTGTTCAATTGTTCCTGACCATTTCTATATTTTATAGAAGGTCCCAAAATTAAAACACTGCCAAAGCATTTATTTACTTTCATCAGTAAATAAATTGGTTTAATAGTTTTAAGAGTTTCTCACCAGTTTCTCATCATTTGTGAAAAATAACCATAATGTTTCGATTAAAATTAGAAAAACAGTGATATTAAAATCATAATATATATAATAACGATTTTTTTTATAATATAATGTTTTTTTTA